TCTCAAAATATCTTTCCTTATGTTCCACAGCAGACTCCATAAGGGTGAGAAAATGATGACAGAATTTTTATTTAGGGTGAAATATTCCTTTAAGAGAGATAGATTTTACACCTGTAACTCAGTAACAGAATTCAGTTTTCTAAACAAAACAACACTATTTCTTGTAACATTTTTACAGAATTACCTAAAATAACATTTATAACAAAACCCCTGTGTATACTGTAGAGCATCTTAAAAAATACACACTGTTCTACGAACATAATTTGGTCATAAAGTGAACGGAGTTTTCTGTTGCATGTTGTCGGCAAAGAAAACACAATAGAAAGATGTTCTACTTTTTGTCTTTGTCTTATCGCAATTCAGATGGCAAGCTCACAACTCAGGTAAAATCGAATTTCTTTTACCATGGCTCGGTAGATTCAAATACAGCACCTCCACTGAACAATGAAAGGAAACACTGCTGTAAAGTAAAGGCACTGTATTAAATTTCACAGCTGCTCTGTTCCAAATTTACAGCATAGCTGAAGTAAAAGCCACAGATCTGACATTAATCCATAAACATAAAGGAGGAAATTAGCAATTTAACTAAAACTACATATTTTACACTCAAAATGCTGAGAATTACAGCCCTTAAAGTGGTCTTTTGACAGACTAAATGCTCTTTTTTTTTTTTTTTTTTTTTTTTTTTTAATTCTGACCATTAGCAACAATTCTGGCAACTTTCTGTCTGTCATTATATAAAAACCCTGGAACAGACTGTACAGATGGCGCTGAATTTGAGCTGTTTTTATCCCCTCCAGTAAGAATATTCTCACACACACACATACACACTGGTTATGAGCATCAGAAATATTTCATGCCACAGAGTTTTCATGCACGTCCCAATATTGGGAAGGAATGACTGGGACGAGCTAGAGATGAAACGTAATTATGTTGTAATGTTTGGTTAGACATGCTTAACCACACTAACTTTGATTAGTCATCATTAATCACATAAGTCGGCCAAGTTTGTACATTTTCTGCATCAATTGCATTTGTGGAATATGGCGGAATGGAGTTAAACATGATAAAATGTATTAAATGTAGCATTACAGCCTAAATATTTAATAAATTAAGACTTTTATGCATGAAAGCTGCAGAACGTTCAGTGGAATTCTGCGGATGCAGATTCCATGCAGGTTTACTGATAAGCTAATAATGCAATCCACTATGGGCATTAGGGCTGCACGATTAATCAAAATAAAACTGAAACTGCGATATGGCTTAGTGCAATTATCAAATTGTGATTTAATTAAATAAATATAGGCACTGTATTCTTACACACAAGTGGCTCATTATCCACAGGTGTTTGCAGAGTTTCAGAGCAGCTTGGTTCGCAGTAAATGCTGCTCCACACAAACTCCATCTCTGCTTCTGCTTTAGATCCTTTTAATGCATCAATCTTCACATATTTGTAACGAGAAGCGCTTATCAAAAAAAGAGATGGTTAAAAGCGATAGTTCACCTAAAAAAAGAAACTTCTGTCATCACAAAAAAAAAAAGGTATTTTTGAAGAATGTTGGCAACCAAACAGTTGATGACAGTATGGGGAAAAAAATACTATGGAAGTCAATTGCTACCGTCAACTGTTTGTTTGCCAGCATTCTTCAAAATATCTAATCTATCTTTTTTTTTTGGTGAACTGCCCTTTAAGGGCTCCATGTGGTTTTCTATCAAAATAAAAGTTTGGTAATTTAAAAAATTAATAAGGAAATTAAGACATTAGCAGTTGTAATGTAAAATAAAATTATTATTATAATACTATTTTCTTTAAATACTCTTTTTTTAATTTTAAAGTTAAAATATAACAATATAATTTTTATTTAAAGGGGTCATATGATGCAACTTCAAATTTTCCTTTCTCTTTGGAGTGTTACAAGCTGTTCATGCATAGATAAGATCCCTAAAGTTGCAAAGACTAAGGTCTCAAATCCAAAGAGATATTCTTTATAAAAGTTAAGACTTGTCCACGCCCTCCTAAAACGCCTCGTTTAAACACGCCCCCACATGTCTACGTCACTGTGTGGGAAGATTTGCATAACACCGTTATGTTATGTAACACCGTAACAATGTTCACGCAAAGAAAGAAGGCGTAACTTTTATTCTCGCTGTAGTATTGTTGTTACCGCTGCCGCCATGTCGTGGAGACGCTGTGTGTTTCGTTGTGAAAGCGAAACTTCTTTGTTTGGCCTTCCAAAAGAGGATGATATCCGCTTCGTAATGCCTAGAGCTGATCCGTGCTGGTCGCTGAGGAAATACATCAACTTCGCGTTGTGGATCGCCGGATCGGCTTTCACCGTGGACGAAGCGGAGTCCAGCCCGGGGTCGTCACATGTGGTTGCCGCAAACCCGCCAGCCGCTCCTTCGTCGAATCTGCCGGCCGCGTCGTTCTCAAGCCCGGCGGCCGTTCCTCATTCAAGCCCGTCGGAGGAGAAACAATAATGTACAGTATGTGGAAATTAAAGTGTTTTTTTAACCTTAAACCGCATAAACACACACACCAAATACACAAAATAATGTTCTTTTTAGCAACATCATATGACCCCTTTAAAAGTTCAGTATTTTTATATTATATTTTATTATTATTAATAATGATAATAATAATAATAATAAATATTATTATTAATTACTTTCATTTAGTAATTTTTATATTTGTATTTAATAATAATAATAATAATAATAATAATAAATTATTATTATTGTAATTTTAAAATTGCAACCGCAATTTTACAGGAGGAAAAAATATCACAATTACATTTTTCCAGAATCCGTGCAGCCCTGATGGGCACTTTTCTATGCTTTACTGGTCAAATGCAACTGCATCCATGTTCGGTAAGATAAACCACTGTATGCCGAGTTTTGCACTAGAAATCAAGTGTGGCTTCCGTGTTATAGTGCAAAAAAAGTGAATATTACCGTACCAGAATCACTGTGTGCTCCTGTGTCCTGAGAGCTGATGGTCTCACTCAAGGTCTTGTCCCCGCTGTTACCCCCTCGCAGCGTCAGGGACAGCTGCCGTTTGATCTTCCTCATGCGGTCCATCAGTGGGGGTATGGGGGGACGAGATGAGGGGGGTGGAGGGGCTGCCACTGTTCAACCGCCCTGTCAGAGACACACAAATGCACAAGCAGGACCTTACAAGCTGCTTCCTGATTCATTTGATATCCTCTGTGATTACTGGACAGAGCAAAGTCATGTATTTTCAAGGACGCCGTCCTCTTAAGACTGTAATGGAATGCGTTAACATATTCTGGGATAAATATTAGCTTAAAATTATGTTAAGACAAACATGGAGCAGAGAGGTGATTCAGAGGACAAATTTGTTTATCTCATAACGTTATTTGAGCGGATGGCGCTAGTACGGAGTGGACATTAAAATGAGAGACAGTAACTGGAAGAGGTTCATGGTGAGAGATCACACCTAAAATAAACAAATCACACAGCCAACTGTAATTGCACACATAAGTAATGATTAGCAACAGTGTTTTCACACTCATCATTCTAAGTGTGATTGCTTTCATTTATAAATCAAGTGCTTAAAGGATTGCAGACGCTGCAGATTTGAGTGTTTTTAGGCCGGAAATGCAAGGAATCCAACTGGGAGACTCGGAGAGGCACAAACAGGGTAATAATTGCAACAACCGAGCCATTAAATGAGAGTATATGCAGAGAGAAAGGACTAAACACATTAATGATCACAGACCAGACTTGAGCATGAACATTCATCTCAGTTCAGTGAAATTCAAAGAAAATGGTGAGAGATTATGGGTATGTTGAGAATAACATATTACTCATACTTTTTAGCAGTATGCACAAAACACCCAGATGACCTACTAGGATGTACAGTACACAACCAGAGCACAGTGAGTGAGATACCACAATGCATTGCATTCGACTTGACCTTCCATTTGAAGTATGACAATAGAATTGGACGTGATATAAATCATTAGCAGGGTTGCATACCGAACTCGGTACTTTTAAGGGTACCAACCGAATTGCGTCGGTACTACCTAGTACCGATTCACGTTAAATCAATAGGTGCTAAATTTCGGTACCTGAGAACGCATCTGGGCGCATACGCTACAGAGAGAGAAAGAGAGACCCTGTGACATGAGGTCACCCCTGCAACTCGTTCAAACAACACACAGGGCAAGTCAAAATGTTGTAAAGTGTGGTTACATTTCTAGGGCCATATGGTTTCTGCGAAAACCATTCATAAAAACGTAATTTACTCTATAGCGCGGAATGCCACGGAATTCGTCAATTTTGGATGAATAAATCAAAAGTAGGCCTGCCACTTAATTCGAATCACGATATGAACTAATGTCTGTAAATATTAAAATGCAAAAAGATGGTTTAAATATGAATCCTGCATGTTCCGCTTGCCTCTGCATGTATGAATGGCAGAAACGCGCTTTTGTTTACTACACAAATTCTGAAGCACGCTTACAATGAAGCACACAAATTCTGAAGAGGCTCGCGGTGATTTCGGCCACTGCTTCTCACTATATGACGTCATGAACACAAAAACTTAATCTCCAGAGCTGCTGTGAAAGTCACTTCGCGAGAATTTTACCGTTTCATTTGAGAAAACTAGCATCATCATACTGTATACACACAGAAACTTCATGGCAATCGGTCAAAAAAAAAGTACGGTTTAACATGTAACAGAAATATATTACTCTTGTATTACTTTTGTACAGTATAATGTACATCTTTAAATATTCCACATTTAAATAAAACAACTAAATGATGTAATTACACAGAGTAAAGTACCGAAAAAAGGTACCGTTTAATCGATTAATCGAATGCGATTGTCATGCGCATTTTGTTAGTAATGCCGGTTCTGTAATCAGCAGTAAATCATCATCACATGCTTTCAGATGGAGCAGCATTTACTACACAGAGCCGTAGTTCACTGACGTTACGCAAAAAATTCGCAGATGATTTTATTGCGCGATTATGAAATCAAAGAAATCGTTCGCGATAATGACAGCTGTTTGCATAGCTTCTCAGTGAACTACGGCTCTGTGAAGTAAATGCTGCTCCATCTGAAAGCATGTGAGATCACAGAACCGTGCTTCACTGAAAGATACGCATGACAATCGCAGCTTCTGTCGAATTGCGATTTCGATTTCATTTCGATTTATCGTGCAGCCCTACTGTTGGGTACCGGCACCGAAATTCAGGTACCGATACCAGTACTGTACCGGTTAAAATGTGAACAGTACCCAACCCTAATCATTAGGATCTCCTTCTTCACTCTATACTAGGCCTATATATCAAACAGTATATAGTATATAAAATGAGGTAGTATTCCATTCAACACAAAGCCTAAAAGAGAAAAAAAAACAAAGTTACCCTCAGTGCTTGTGGGGAACACAGGGTCGTCTTTTTAGGAACAGCCAAAATGCCAGAAGGTTTTGCCTTTCCTTTAGACTAATCACATGCTTTGGCACAAAGATGAGCCATCAAGATCAACATCAAGAGTTCATCTTGACCGCAAATCCAAGCTTTGGGTCCTTGGACTTAATGTGACCCACTAACAAGGTGCCTGAGGACGGGATTGTACTCAGGCACAAGATTTCAAACACTTGTTTCCTGTGCAGATAGATATCACGGTCCATGCTAAGAGAGATTTAACAAGTAACGGACCAAATGTTCTTTAGAAATTTTGCTTAAAGATTCAATATAGAAGTTGTCTGAACAACTACACTGAACCACTCAAAAGTCTTAGTTTGTTAAAGACTCTGAGCAATTTAAAACATGAAAATACATATCAAAGCAGTATTTCAAGGTGATAAATCAATGTAAAATCCAAAATTGAGGGGTTTAAAAGCACATTGAGCACAATGCATAAGATTTCGGATCACGCAAGAGACGAAAAAACAAAACCTTTCCCAATTTTGTAACGTACAGACACTAAATCACAATAATGAAAAGAGGGTTTTAAGGAACTCTAAAGCAAACCATTGGAAGGTTAACACCAAAAATACTATGAATAGCTGAAATACTTGAAATAGTGAGAGTGGTGTTTCCTTTCCCCCCTGAGGGGGAAGCACGGAAGCACACGACTGAAACCCAAGATGACAAAAAATTACAGATGTTGAAAAGAAGAGCAAATAAATGGGGACAGATCCAATGGTAATCAAAGCAAGGCATTTGAAGCATCTTAGTTTTATTTATCTTACCCATAAATTCAAGATGAACCAAGCAGCCTCAAATCAGATGTCCTGAATCAGACAGGAAATACAGGACGATCCACAAACCTTCGCTCATGTTTACAATAAACCAATGTGACAAACAGCTCAGAATAGGAACTCTTACTGTTAAAGGACACTTTTGCGTAATATTCATCATGTTTTGCATTTTGAATAACAATCAGTCATGTGCAATGTGGTTGAATGGCTGACAAAGCAGCGCAAATCAGCTGCTCGGTGCCAAGATGAATCTAGTCAATCCCTAATCAGTTCAGTAATCAAGGACAAACAACACACAGTTATATATACATGAGCTTAACCGGTTTACCCTCCACCATTTTTGCTCAACACTGGCTTCATTCATGACCTGGTGAGTGATTGCAGCCCCAGAGGAAAGCAGCAGCGGTCTACACCAGGTTAAGGGCCATTTTCAGCTCACTGCAAAGTCTTAGTGCTACTTAATCAGGGTTGATGACTATTTAAGTCTCTTTTCATTACTGCCCGCGGCAGTCGACCATCAAAACAGCATGCAGGACAGCATTCTGTGGGCCCCAGCTAGAGCTAACACAGGACTAACTGCATCTCAACTGTCCCGCAAACAGACTGGCAGGGTTCAGTTTCAAAGCCAAGGTGATTCTTTAACTGACCTGCATTGATACGGCGCAGACTGAGGCTCATTTTCCACTCCATAGGTCAATAAAAGCTTCATGGGGTTCAGACAACTGACAGTGACAGCTTGGTCTTTGTCCATGTGGATGAGTTTACAAACCTGCCCAGTCAAGTGGCAAAAAGCGGCCTGTTTTCTGTAAAACAGAAATCTGATCATATGCAAGAGAGTTAAACAAAGCACCGGTCCATGCTGGCCACAAGCCCCCAACATCCCTCTCCAACCAGACTGACATGCACCCAAACACAAGGTGACACCCCGACAGGGGTGACCTTCATAGAGACTGATTCTGGAACACCAGGTCCAGAGAGCACTACATCAACCAGCCTCTGAGCACAAATGTGTTTGTGTTGCTGTCATTTCTCTGAAAGTGTCCGTACAGCACAGCACAGCACTTCATCAATATTATGCTGGTGAAACATGCCAGGACTGAAAAAAATCAGCCTGCTCATGTAGGTTGCTTTCTAATTGGACACTGTTATTCATTGAGGCATTATGGGCTCTACGATTTTCAAATAGTTAGTCAAGAGCAATAACGAAGACGATTACAACAGTCGAAAGAAAGCCGAGGATGCAGCCTTTGTCAATTATGCCTCAAAGCTATGGAACACACTATCAAGAGATATCAAGAAAGTTGCTATATTTTTAAAAGAAAGCTAAATACCTTTATTTATTTTTTATTTATTTATTTTAGCTTTTAACTAGCAAATTATTTCTCTGGTACATTCTATGTATTATGTTGTCATTTATTATTATTTGGTTTCAATTTCCATTTTTGTTATGCATTTTATATATATTAATTTTATATTTTGGGGTTAATTAAGGCAGCTGCTCGCTAAATATTTTTAGAAGAAAGCTAAAAACCTATTTTTTATTTCAGCTTTTAACTAGAAAATGATTTTTCTGATGAATTCTATGACAGGTTTTACTGTAAGGTACTTCTTCATGAAGGTACAACCTTCCAGTAGGTACCACTTCTATTTATCAGTCAAGCATGCCCAGATAATTTATTCCACTATCACTATCCACTATTTAAAAAAACAAAAAACGTAATTCTGCAAGCAATGCACTTTCCTCTGGAATTATTCTAGTCTTGCTTCAAAGCCAATTATGTACAACACGGAAGTCAAAGGTCAAGTGCTTTCCCTAATTCTCTCAAATAAGCAATCAATGGAAACCACCACTTAAATTTGGGTTGATGAATGCCAGTTAACTAAAGCATCAAAATTATGCATGCTACAACAGTGTAAGTCTATTTAGGTGAGGAAAGCAAAGTTAAAGACTCCTAAACCATCTGTCACAACCTAATGATAATATTCCACAAACCAACCCACTCAACATGCACCCACGCCTCCAACATGCCATTCTGAATCAGACCGCCATCTGTCAAACATGCTCCTCCATCTGACCAGAACTGAGCCTTTAATGGGAACTTCTCGTTACCGCATCTTATTCAAGTTTTGATCGAGTGGGACTGAATCACTCTTCCTCCTTCCCCATTCCATCAGTGTAACTTGCTCCAAAAGTGGTTTCACCTGCTGGGAAATCAATGTGAGCTGGAAAGATCATAATGGCATTTTTATGCCAGAAATGGGTTAAAGTACAGTTTTACCCCTAGATAACATGCATTCGATACTACATATTCACAACTATGACATAGACTTTTATAACACCATCATGTTTTGAATGAGTGTGTTATGCTTTCATCACTAGATGCCATTGCCAACGTAAAATACGTCATTGACAATGTTTCCTCTCTCTTAAAGGCATTTAATTAAATGTTATTATTATTATTTCATAATATGTTTAATATTACATTTTTTAATATGTTGAACAAAATTGTTCAAAACTGACTTTTAATAAACACATACTGTATAAGCCCGAGGTACTTCAGATGACATTATTAGAAAGCACAACATGACTGAATAAAACAGACGGCTCCCTCAAGATAGCATAATTATTCAGGCAAGCCATTAATAAGTAAAAATAATCAAATTAAACATTGATTGCAGCCGGACTAATTGCTGACTAATCCACAGTAAACCACACATAAACACGCTAGCCAGGTTAGCTATTTAGCTGGCTTTAAAGACCAGCATTAAACGGCCATTGTACAGGAATGCGAGAATGATTCCTTCTTATTTTTATTCCTTCGTTTTAGCTTTTCTGTTGTCCATTCGCATATATCATACAACAATCTTTCGGTTTTCATTCAGACAGCCCGACCGACCCAAGCAGGATATCACACACAGACTGTCCGGCTCGAATTAACTCACACAAAAACGGCCTGAATCTAATGTTCTGTCCCATTATGATGCGTTTTCCACTTTAAGATGAAATATCAGAGTGGGACAGGACGATCTCCGGGATGGTTTTCTTACCCGTGGAGTTGAGATCCGTATGTGCTTGTGTCAGTGAGTGCGTGTTGCTCGTGTAATCTTAACAGTAGTAATAATATCCCAAAGCCGCCGAGCGCTCCCAATAGTCCTCGGCCATGATCCTCTACGGCTGCTGCTGCTGCTCGTCGAGTCTCCACTGCTGCTGGAGCGACTTCTCTAGACCCCGCATGTCTCACTTACTGCTCCTTCTCTCCCGACATTGCTAAAACGTTACAGCAGCTGTTCCTTTCCTTGCCAAATCCGGACTGGATCATGGAAGCGACAGAGCAGCTGTGAATAGACTCAGGAGTCACTCACTCCACCACCACCAGGACTCGTTGGATAGGTTGGGGAACATGTAATTATGTCATTGAGCTAATTCTTGTGTAATTAATACGTTTTTATGATATATCTATATTCCTGAGTAGGTTGTTTCTGTGTATTATGCGTCCCTGCAGAAATGTGCAGAATCCCTGCAGAAATTTGGATACTAAGTGAAAGTGTCCACCCCTAATAAATTAAACTGGCTCATAGTGGGCTGACCCGAATTCCATTCAAGCAAGTTAGACTGTACCATTCGGGCGGAATGCGCAGGGGAGAAGCAGCGGGTGTGCAGTGTCTAATGCAGTATGCTGTGGGCCACTGCATGTCATGCTGAGTCGTTACATATTTGACATATTATTTGTTTACGAAATTACGTTAAATTGCCGTTGTTTGTAACAGGATCAGATTTATCATCAAAAAGGCTTCTAAATGCATCAATGCAGAGCTACGTTGTTCCACCCTAGCTTAAGAAATAAATAAGTGTAAGTGTATCATTGTATTATATTAGAATGGTGTGTACTGAAATTTAGACCGTTTATCTATCTAATAAACATTTTTTTTTAGAATGGTTTGTATATATATATATATATATATATATATATATATATATATATAACATGAATAACCTAAAATTATTTCCAATAAATTATTTATAAAAAAAATTAAAAAAATACTTCCCTTATGGTACATTTAGTTTACTGTAAAAAAAACAAACAAACAAAAAAATATATAGTGAAGTGACATGACATGTGGCCAAGTATGGTGACCCATACTCGGAATTAGTGCTCTGCATTTATCCCATCCAAAGTGAAATCTAAAATCAATTTGAAATAAAGCCTACATACCCTTTACATGTAAATTCAAATTGCAGTGTATCTTGCAATGTCTACTTTGAGCACTTTAACCTTATTAGAGCATTATGTTTTGAATATCCAGCCTGATTCATAATTGCAGTGACAGCATTGATTTATATGATAATTAAATAGGATGGGTTAGGAGAGCTGGGGGAAACCTAACCTGAAGTGTGTGTGTGTGTGTGTGTGTGTGTGTGTGTGTGTGTGTGTGTGTGTGATGCTGCGCTGTAGA